GTAGGAAGGAAAAAAGGATCCGCGCAGTAAACTTCAAGATGAAAGTTCGGTTAACTAAGCATACAAAACTATCCCGGCTTGCAAGTAAGACCATAAAACGTCACTTGCAATATGAGAACGGGGCAAAAAAATTGGCCACAAGTGCAAAATCGCCATTGAGCGTACAAACGAGTTGAGAAATTCCACCGTAACCAAGAGAACAGATCCTCAATTGTCCGCATTACATGAGATGAACCGAGAGTGAAGCGAAGGGAAAACCCATGGATAGGATTTGGATCGGTGAAAAATGAAAATTGGCGCAAGGAGTTTTAAAAGGTTGTAATAAAAAAATTAAAAAAAGAAGAAGGTGCATACTCAGCAATCAGAGATCTATAGGAGAGCTGTGCGAGGAAGAGTAAGAAGCTCACCGAAACTGAAAGCGTAACCATTGGCAGACATGAGCTGCTTGTTGGCCATGATAATCCCGACTGAGCTGATGATATTCATCGCCCATGCCCCAACATCCGACACCGGCGATGATTTCTTATCACCCTCCATTTCTCTTTCTTCTTTCTCTCTCGTTCAAATGAAGTGGAATTCGGAAACAGGAGTGAATGAGAGAAAACGAAAAGGAAGAGATTGGAGGAGGGAGAGAGAGGAATTGAAGGACCCTCCAAACAACAGATGCCCAGATCGGATCTTAAAATGTGTTTACAGATAAGTGAATGTACAAGACGATGGAAAGACAGGCGAGACAGCAATAGGGACTAGGGAGGCAAAGCAATACAATTTTCAAGGAAGGGGTAAAAAAGGAAAGAAAATGAAGGGGTTATACGTTTTTTCCCGAGTCTCAGACCTCCCACCCCAATTCTCCAATTCCGCTCCGTTGGACAATTACTATAACACCCACCCAACCCACACCGTGTGACCGATCTGTGACGGCGAGGAGGCGTACGCACGCGTCGCATGGGGCTTTTCACGTTTCCTTTCACTCCTCACTCCTCCCTCACTCTTTTATTATTATTTTTTTATGAAAAAAGAAAAAACCCTCCGACGTTTCATTAATTTCATACTTAATGTGAGGCAGGAATTGTAGTGCTTATATTCAATTGCGATCAAATTATATTATTTGTTAAAGTATGAAGATTAATTTGATGGCCGAGAGTAATTTATAATTTATTGACTAAAGCATTATTTATACTTTATTCCTTATAAAAGATTCTACACGTTCAACTACATTAAAAGTTTGAATAAGAAATAATTTATTAAGCTTTTCTTTTTTAACAACTTTTTTTACGATTCTAAAAATATTTTCATCTATCAAATACTTAAACAACTGAGTTTCTATTCAATCTATGAAATTTGAATTCTTTTCAAAAGTTACATGTTTATCATTAAATTCTATTTTACATATAATTGTCCCTAAAACTTACTTGAAATTGATTTCTAGTTGATGATGGAGTGTAAAAATGAAATATGTTTTCAAAAATTGATATCAAACTGATTAGATACATATAATCAAAGTCGAGTAAGCATAATCAATGCCACTTAGAAACCAATTTTGTAGTAACTAATTCTAAGCAAAATTTAAACTTTAGAATCCAACCATGTCACATGGAAACAAACTTAAATATCAAACATAAAAAATGTTGGTTTTAAAAATGAAGATATCTAGATGATAATTAAATATAATTTGTAGAGGTGTCTATATGTTGATATTAATATTGGATTTTGTTCCTTAAGCGGTGAGTAAGAGTTTTATTGAGCTACTTTTGGAAGAAAATCATCCATGAAGGAGATTTCTAGTAATTTTCTTTTTTCCCAAAACTTCTTAAAAATTTCCCTCCATAGGTGGTGGTTTTACTCATTCGTGATCCATTAGATTCATTGTTAACGGTATTACATTTTGGAGAAAGAACCAAATTGAATCATGGACAACCAATGTTGTGGGCTGAATTAGGATTAGCCATTAAATTCACTGTCCCAATGTAAAGCCCAAGCTCCAAGCCTATATATGTAGAATTATTTATGGTATTGTAGGGTTGTTATGTTATGGTTTATGAATGGGAGGAGTGTGGTAACAGTTATGGGCTATATGTTTTGGGTAACCAACTACTAATAATCACATAAGTTAATTGTTAATAAATGTTTTCGTGGTAGGGCAAGGATTACACATTGATGGCAGTTTACTTTTAAACCTTTTTGTTGCTGCTCTATTTGATTAAATTGCATGGCTTTTAGATTTTATTTAGATTTTGTTGTTGCTCTATGTATTTTAAATTATAAATTTTCAGTATTAATGAGGTTGTACTAATTAGAATGATTTTCTAATAACATATGTAATAGTAATTTTGAAAATATCAAAATCATCTTTAATCCCTCAAAATTAAATTTATTGTAAAATACGTGAGATGGCCGTAGTTGGAGTCGGCAAGACACATGCGCCCCCCAGACACCAGTTGCATTAGTTTAACACCCTCGCACCGCTCATTCCTCATCGTGAACCTCACCTTCCTTCCATTGCAATCTGTGCTCCAAACCGACAAAGATTGCACCCATTTATTTTTTGTAGTTTTAAGTCAAAGTGCTACAGGAATGATAATTCTTAATTTTACAATCTATGATGGATTATATTGCTAACATATTTAATACAAAGTGCGCCAATAATGTATCATTTTTGTATCATTGGTCAAATACATTATGGATAAGTCCAAAATGTATCTTTCTTATAAATTAAAAAAAAAAATATATATATATATATGTAACCAACCATGCTTTGGTGGTCAAAACCTTAGCATTATCGAAAGCATTTCATCATAAACAAATACATGAATGTTCTGCCCCTACCATCAACTTTTTGCCCACTAAAATTTACGGTGAAAAAAATGATTGGGATAGAGTTTGATGATGTGGCAATGATTGTGGATTAAAGAGTTGGGTATTGAAGTGAAAAGTGATTTTGTTGAAAGAACGGATATGATTACATGTTATTTAAAATTTGTGAATTCCAAGGATTAGCAATGGGCATGGGCTGGTATGAATGAAGTTTCCTTTTTAATTAAGAAAATAGAATTTTTCAAAATGGAGGACGTAGAATTTAGTGGGGAATTAGATAACAAAAGCGAAAAGAGAGACATTGTGTTCAGGTAAACAGGGTCGTCCATGCCATCAACTACGGCGGCGCCGCTTCAGATTGTCAACTCTTCCGCCTTCTCGTCGTATTCCAGTTCAATTCAGTTCATACTGTAATGGGCCACTCCCTTTGACTCTGACTTGCAGATTTAATTAGGTTGCCCATCCACCGTCTTCGGCCCCTCATTAATCCAATTCAAGCGTCGTCGATCACCCAAGTCGTCGCAAATTAACCGGAACTTAGAATCAGATCAGGATTTCGGAAGAGGATAATTCCCTCTTCCAGCAATTCAACATGGGTAATCATCTATACATCTCAACGCTGAAAGAATGAATCTCAGATTAAAAAAGGGAAAAGAATTAGAGTTGCTTACAGAGGAGAAATGAAAATTAACCAATATATGAGAGGCGGGGAGGGAAGGGAGCAGGGACGTATCCACGTAAATCGGGGGCTAAAATCCCTACTAACACCCTACTCCCTACAGAACGGCGCCTTCATAGATGGTGCTCAATTTGAGTTTAAAGGAACGAACAGCCATTTTTGCTCTTCTGGACGTCAATCTCTGCAATTTTCTAACGGAGGGTGAGGCAGAGGTATCCGCGGCGGCGTTCTTTTTGGAGGGCTCCTTGGAGATGATGTGGTCGGAATCCGAGAGGTTGAGGAGGGGAGAAACACGACCCTTTTTACGGCGATCGTTGGGGGAGGCATTTTGGAGGGCGAGGCTGGCTTTGACAGCCAAGGCAGCCATTTGGGAGGCGCTCAATCGGTGGTGGAGGTTGGAGGAAGGAAGGAGGAAATAGATCTGATTAGGGAGAAGCTGTTCATCGAGTGGCAAAGGGGGGATGAAGTCATCGTAGTATAAGCGGTCGGAGTTGCAAAGAAAGGAGTCGGAAAGTGAAGAAGAGGAGTTTTCGGTCTGGAGAACGCGGGAGACGGAGATGGGAACAGGGTATTCGCGGAGATGGCCTTGCAAAGAGATCACTTTGGCGGTGGGAGGAGGTGGAGAAACAGAAGAGGGTTTGGGATGATTGAGGCAGTCGGATAAACAGGCACCCATCAGTATCAAGCCTAGCTGTTGCTGATGTCTGTCTACGTTTCAGACACGGAATTTTGTGGGATTATGGGCAGTCAGAAATGAGAAATTGCGAATGGGAGGAGGAGCCGAGGAGGAGAAGGAGAAGGAGAAGGAGAAGGAGAAGGAGAAGGAGCCGAGGAGGAGAAGGAGAAGGAGAAGGAGAAGGAGAAGGATATTGGTATAACCAGGAGGGGATGGATCATTTATTGAAATGTGATGCTGGTGCGAGGTAAGCGATGAGGAAACAGAAAATTGGTCATCGTCTACGTCATAAAACTACCTTCAACGCGGCCTTTCCATTTAATGCTAATACCAATCAAAAAGAAACCCGACGTAGTCAACGGACACGCCAAACCAACACACACCCACACAAAAATAAAAATAAAAGATGACCACAATCTTGTTCCCCGAGCACACAAATTGAAAAATGCCCTTACTAATCAATGCATAATCCATCAACATCATTCTTATTTATGACCTTATTTATTTATTTAAAAACACACTACCTTCTTCTTGTCTGATGTTTTTTAAGTTTCTAAATAAAGTAATTTCCATAACAATTGTCACATAAGAAGATAAAAGACCATAATTAATTACAACAATTCAAAGGACACAACGGTAATTATATATAATTATTGCCTTTTATTACTTTAGGTCCTCAGAAAGCAAATATCAAAGAATCCACTTTTGTTACTGTGGAGTTGATTTACATACGCATAGTAAGTAGCAACGGTAAGGACACAGTTCTCTTTCCCTGTACTTCCACTTCCACGCTCCAAAGAAGCGGAAGCAGAGGAAGGCACAAACTACCCCTCACCAATTTTCTCTGTCTCAACCCATTCATAATCATATTCATAATACACGAAAAGAAAAGAAAAAAGAAAAAAGAAAAAAGTCCCTTAAAATTGCAAGGCTAGAGCTCAAAGTAGAAAGAATGAAAAGAAAAAAAAAAGTCCCTTAATCTACTCATTACAATCTTAAAGCAACTATGTATCCCTTTCTATCACTGGATTCAAAGTCACTGTTCTTTTACCACCACCAGTACCAGGGTAGATTAGTAACGGAGGAGGAGTAAGTTAGTAACTGAGGAGTAAAGTTTGGGCAAATATAATTCCCCTCCCCCATCATTACATCCACATTCAGAAACTCCAGCCACTCCAATCGGATTTGCCCCCAATTCTGTCTACCACATACATTCACGACTTCTACTTACAATTCACACATTCCTACACCCAAATTTGCAACTTGGAAGATGATGAAAGCGGATGGATGTTCTCGAGCTGTAATCACATCAGGAGAAGAGCTTCGCATTAGCAGTACCGATGGCGTGGCGCTCGAACTCCTTAATGGTGTCAGCAAGCTTCTTCATCTTGTCGTCGTACACAAAAGGGGTTTGGTTGAAGATTGTGACGTTATGAATGGCGGAGTTGGGGAGGAATTCCCTGCACAGTTCCCCTCTCACCATGATGGAGTTGTGGTAATGATAGTATCTAATCTTGGACTCTGTTTTGTGCGTTGTATTTCCAATCACATTTTCCGACATGTGTACCCCCGTAGCATACGCGTTCTTGGCTTGTATCGCGTACTTCCGGTCTCTCCAGATTCCAGACTTTATGTCTTTAAACAGCAGCTTTTCAAACCCCCATTTCCTGACAAGGGGATCAAATATATATATATCAATTCATACATCCCTATCTACATCCTACCTGACCTCAGATCCAACAAGTATCTTCCAAACATAATTAGATCGAACACGTACCTGGAGTAATTTTGAGCGGAATCGTTCAAACACAGCATACTGGACATTGGGTTCTGCTCGATTGTAAATTGAGTAAATGCGGAAAACTCTTCCAACACGGACTCCAAGCTACTCCCCTCGGGCAAATATATGTACTCGTCCACATCGAAATAAAATGTCCAGTTTGCCGCGTGTCGGTACCGGTGGAGGCAGTCGTTCACTACCAGAAACTGATTATAGTAATACCCATCGTACTCTGACTGTGCTCTGATGTCCTGAATTGTGACCCTTCCAGCTCGCACCCACGGCTCGAGGACAGCCCTGACCTCTGGGGACACCCCGCCGGCGTCGTGAAACACAAAATGGGATTTAGACCCGAAGAACCAGGCATGGTATGCCATCCATTCTCTGATCCTGGCGGCACTGAGGTTCCCGTAGAGAGACGAACCGCAGTACAAATATTCGTAGTCATAAGGAGGACGGAACTTGGATGCGTTGTAAGAGCCTGGCAATTCCTCAAGAGCAGTGAACTTTTCGTACTTTTTCTGAGACTGACCGTAGTAGGCATTAACCGTAAGCTTTCCACCCGAATTGTCGTGATTGGGATTGAGGGGAAAAGTGCAATTGACGACGACGACGGTGTAGACACGGCCATAGCCCCAATCGGGAAGAATCTTGTAGGCCTTGGCCCTAATGGAAGATCCATTGTTGAAGATCCACTCGCATTTGTACCAAGGATGGCCGTAGACGTGAATGGGTTTGGAAGCAAGGCCGACGATGGCAAAAGTGCGTGGTCCGCCTCTATAGGCTCCCATTAAAACGAATAGAGCCGCAGCATTACCAAATGGCTGGAAAATTCGGTTGTTGGGATCGGTTGGGAGGGTGGTGGAGTACTTTTTGGCAGCGGCGGATGCAGTAAAGGGGAGAGAGGTATTGGGAGGAATGGTGAGATTGGCGAGGGCGGCGTCGGCGGTGTTGGTGGGGGCGGAGCAGGAGCGGGCGGTGGTGAAGAGGAGATTCTGGTAGTAAGGTGGAAGATTCCAGAGGAACATGACAAGAGTGAGGGCGAGACATGTGGCGACCAGAGGCTTGGTCTCGAAGCAGGTGAAGAGTTTGCCGACTTGGGCGTCGCCGATGGAGGTAGCCGGACCGTCTTTCCTCATGAAGGCAGAAAGGGGAACTTCAGTCCTTGGCCTCCGCCAGTCTCTTTTGCTNTGTCTGTCGGTGCGATGAGATTAGTGGCCATATGCGCATATCATATCATATTTAGTGTATTCATTGCTCTTTTTTCTTTTTCTTTTTCTTTTTTTTTTTTTTCCCTTCTTCTTGCTCCCTTTTATTTTTAGTGTAATAATTTAATAATAATTTATTATTTTTCCTTGGGGAAACCATATCTTCAGAAAATTACAGTGATGGGACTGGGGTGGGGAGTGGGAGGCAAAAATCAAACAAGCGTAGGTGAGGCATCCACGTGTCTGGATTCCAGGTCCTGCAGTTACCGCGACTTCAGGGATTCCCTAAAACATTTGGGCATCGATCTCGTTGGAATTACAAGTCTACCACTTTGATTTAACCTAACTTTATTGCCAGTGAGGTGTCCGCCCGGGCATGGTAAAAACATGAATAAACCTAATTAATTTTGTAATAAATTTCCGCAAATATTTGGTAATGCCAAGTCTTTTTCTTTTGCATTTGGTGGCAATGCATCTTCTATTTTAAATCTCCTTTAATCAAATGATATTGACTACCCGACTAAAAATACAATTTATTAATAAAACTACCCTCAAAATAAATGAGTTCTAGTCACTAAAAATAATTCATTCATTTTTATGAAACAAAAGGCTAAGCCCAATTCATCCTTATATTCGATGATTATTATTATTATTATTATTAATTAGATGCAATAATTAAAATTAGTCAATACTAAATAATGGAATGGTATTAAGTATTTATCAATCAATCAATGGTAGTTAATAGAGACAAAATAGTATTGTTGAATTTGCACCAAACAAATAATTGATGATACTCTCATCATTTCAAAACGCCCCATAAGCAAGTTGCTAAAGCCGGTTAAGTTGTGTTCTCGATCCTGGTTTTTTGTTTTTCATTTTCTCTGTTTTAGGAAAGAAAAATAGAATTAAGTTTGATAATTTTGTTTTTTTTCCTTTCCTTTTTCTTAAAATTATATGTTTGGTCATACCTTGTTACAAAACCAAATATTCAAAATTGTATGTTAAATTAATAAGGGAAAATATTGGAAACGTGAAAATGAAATTGTTTCTATTGTTTCCACTTAAAAAAAAAAAAAAAAAAAAGGTGGAATAAAAAAAATGAATGTAGTTTGTTATAACAGATATTGTTAACTACCGCCGAATATGGTTTTATCATTTATTTTGAAATTAAAAATTTAGTACATAAGTAAATTATAAATTGTAAGCAAGAAGTCATGTTGGAAGAGTGATTTAGTAAGAGGTGGAATAAAAAATGAAAAGAATTATAGGTATGTATTTTTGTGGGGTAGTGAGAGTAAAGAGAGAAATAAATAAAAGTGGGGCCGACATGAATAAGGAGGAGGGCGGGATTGGTCAATGTGATTATGTGAATTTGTGAGTATCGTGGCTGGCCTTGTTGGCTTTATTGGGTTTTGGCAATGATAATAAATAGTTATGAGAGAAAAAGAAATAAAATAAATAGATTCCACGTACTATTTTATTTTCTGCTATTGTATTTCTACACCCTATCGTCTTTTTTCTTCAATTATTTTAATTTTGTTTTTCACTTTCAAGCATATGCACTTGGTACAAATTAAACTGCATTGTTATTCTTGTGTTTTATGGGTGAACTCAACCACCGAGGTGCATTGACCAATGATGATAGATGGTTGATTCCTGGACTGATTCCAAAATTTCCCTAAAATCCTAAATTGGGTTGGGTGTGCAATATTTATTTTAGGCCCTTTCCAAACCTACAATTTATACCTCTATTTAATTAGATTTGTTAATACACTCGCACCTGGATGTTACTTAACATTCACAAACGGGGATCAATCAAACAAAAGTCGCTTCATTCACACCTCACGGCTCACAGTACAAAACAGTAAACAAATTTTCAAAATTATTTTTCTGAACCAACTTAATATCCATTCTTACTAAAACCTTATTGGGGTACAGATCTCCCCTGTTTGGTGTAGTTGCTGTGGGCGTTCCAGTAAAGTTTCCGTCTCCTCCGACGACACCACTTCTCTCATCGTCGGTCTGTCTTCCCCCTTCAGTTTTAGGCACCTCCGCGCCAGCTCTGCCGCTTCTATCAGTTGCTCTTCAGACCTCTTACATAATCTCTTCCCCGTCCTTTCGTATTCATAAATAATAATAATAATAATAAGAAGAATAAAAAAAAAAAGAAAAAAGAAAAAAGAAAAAAGAAAAAAGAAACTAAAAAGGAGGGGGAGGGGCCTCTCTTCAGACCTCTTGCATAATCTCTTCCCCGACCTGGTTATCGGGCAAGTGAAATCCTTTTCGTGAGAGGAAATTTATTGACTGAGAAGTTGTTTGAATAAAATAAGAATGCTAAAAATAACCGACAGAGAATTACTCAAAACTTTTGGTTAAACGCATTGGCCAACTAAATCTGTGTACTCCTACCAAATGAGCATCTAAATGGTCAAAGTAAGATATTCCATCCAACTATAGAATCGTGTGTAAGGCTAAATAAGGAAGGAAACCTCAGGTTTTATCTAACAATCTCTTCCTAACTCCACCTATTGTTAGACCACTTCTTCCAAATAGGTCTTTCATCCTCTGGTACCTAGCCGAGAGGCTGACTGATTGCTCTATCTCCAACTCTAGGATGTAAAGGCAGTTTGCCGTGCACCGAACTTGCGTGAGCAACCGTCGTCGATCATCGCGGATCCTAAGTAGCCCGCGCTTGATGGAAATGTGGTAGCCGGCCTCATCGAGTAGACCCAGACTCACAATATTAGCCTTGAGCCTCGGGATGAAGTAGACACCGGTTAGCATGTGGTGCTTGCCTCCCTTGCCGACAAACAGGATGGTGTCACGCCCTTCGATTTCGACGACGGAGCCGTCGTCGAATTTCACCATCCCGCGAATCCTCGAGTCAAGCTCGGAGAACGTAGACTTGGCCCTGGTCATATGGTTTGTTGCACTCGTGTCGAGGACCCATCGCCGATGCTCTTGTTGCTCGCCTCTTTCATCAATTTGAGCGAACACTTGCTCCTCCTTCAGTTGAATTGGCTCCCCAGCTGGTGCCTTTGTTATGCACAGTTAGAGCTCTTCCTCGGGTTCGACGCTCACCGGAGCAGTTATACCGTCGTCAATTACCACTGTGGATTTGGAATCGGAATTAGGGACGTCAGGTAGGACTGATGCAATCACCATGAAAAGAGTCGACTCGTCCTCCTCGGATTGAGCCACATGAGCCTTCTCCTTGTTCCTGAGCTTGCTCGGGTGACCTCTCTTCCCACAGTACAAGCACTGGATTGGCCCGTCATCAGTCGGCTCCTTCTTTTGATCTGCCTCTTTCCCGGGCATGCGCTCGCGAGATTTCCATGACCATCTAAAACGTTGGTAATCCATTAGACGTGTTTGTCAAATGGTCAAAGAAAGATATTCAATCAACTAATAGAAACGTGTAAAGCTAAATAAGGAAACTTGACGTTTTATCTAATAGTCCATTCCTCTTCAACCCGACCGGCTTTCTCGAATTCAACTTCCACGCCCAGTGGCATCTTCCCTCTATCTCAAAACCCACCGCAGCTCCCAAATAATACAATATCTGCTCTTCTAACTAATCCGTCTCAACTTCACAACTCGGCTGCTGGTTCACCTCTTCTCTTTCAAGGCAACAGATCGTCTCAACTTATCCACCACTTGTCTTCTATTCATTACACATCATCGCTCTATTCAAACTAAATTGTCCCATACCTCAAGTTCTCCCATTTGAAGGGTGCTACTAAGCCAATGTCTGGGGAACCCCGCAAGAATAGGCACACGCAAACACACACAGCACCTATAGCAAGCATTGAATGGATATAGGGCCGATGAAGCAACCGGTGTGTCCCACTCCCAGGAACCCTCTTGTAGCACCTTCCTGCAACAACTGCACACCTAGAGCAACATCTTCCTTGCACCCTGCTCCGCTCACTACTTGACACCCCTACCTCTATCTCATTCCCAACTCTCACTGAAACTTGACCCTTCTTTCTGTCACCAAGTTTTCGATCCACCAGCTCGTTACAAGAGTGATTTCCCTTCATCAACGCATAACCCCGTGCTGACTGTCCGCTTGCATCTACTTGGGAACTCCAGCAATTCAATCCAATCTGCAACTTCCAAACACCAAATTAACAGCACGTTGTATTAAAAATATAGTATCACCAATCATAATTAACTTTTTCTGAAAAAAGAGGATTTTTTACAACATATTTCTCCATTTCTTAGGGGATAAAAAACCCCCTAAACAGCACTTCGGAACCATTTTGGGAAGTACACCTAGGAAGGGTTTTGAGAGCTTTCAGACAACAAAGTAGACAATATAATCCTTCATCACCACGGTGGTCAACTATCAGAGCGCTCTAAGATAATTTTGGGACAAATATCTAAGTATACAGTAACGCAAAAACCCATCTTGTCCTAAAAAGAAAACCAGGATAAGCCTTAAAAGATGCAACTAGATCTTACCTCCAGCGGGTCATTTGTCAGAGCATCAACCATATCATCTGAATCTGCCATTGAAGCTGCCAAATGCATAGGCGTAATACGACCAGGACCAATAACATTTGGTGGAAAGAGGTACTTTTTCTCTTCATCACCGAAGCCAGATACATAATAATGGACGAGTAAATCAACCATCGGCCTGCACCTCCTTTTCACTGCCCGGTTCAAAAGCTGAACCTCAGATATCATTTCCAAGGATTTCATTGATAGTCCATTTGTGATCAAGCATTTTTTTACCAGAATGTCAAGAAGTGTTTTAAGTAGCGCACAGAAGTCCCTCTCTACTGAGAACGTGAGTAAAAATTTGAACCGCCTGATTAGAAAAATTGGATTATCTAGCTTGGAAGACGACCTTTCCCTTTGGAATAGCCATCCAAGTTCATTTAAGAACTGCAAAGTTTCATCCTTTAGCCTCGGCTGCAAAGGAACACATGAATGGCTTTCTGAACTGATATCAGTTACTCTAAACTCATCAAACACGGACTCAAGATGCCTCAATTCCTTACAGATGGCAGAATCAGCTATAATAACGGGGAAACTATTTCCCCTAAAACCATTTTCCACCTGTTAGCATTGTACAGTAGATTAAAAGAATAACCTTGTAAGAAACTTTAACTGTGGCGAAGAAGATAACACATGCTAGTTCAAACCAAAAAAACTACCTCAATGAAACAACGACCAAGAGTGGAAGGTGATGCATCCCCAATTTTGTAATTTCCAGACTGTATCTCATCGTATGTTCCCTGCCTACTTAATCCCATTACTTCTTTGGATATGTAGCCACCCATAAATGTGCAATGAATCCTACAAGGTTGTGAAGTGTCACTTCCAGAAAAGAGAAAAAGGAAAAATAAAAACCAACAAAAATTCATCACCTATCATAACATTGGACTTACTTGGTGCAAGGATTTTTCAAATTCCTTCCCCGTAATAGAAAGGAAGTCTTTTGTCCACTCACAACAGCCAAAGGTGACACCGAGATTAACTCCGGGTTACTCCAAGCTTTTGAGGATTTATTCAGACGAATCTTCCCTGAATATCCAATCAAATCAGTGGAAACAAAATTTAACACAAGAACAACAACAAATCTACAGCCTATGGCTTCAAGGACTACGCTATAAGATTATCACACATCGTTATGAACCAAATCAGATATGAAAGAAAAAACAAAAAAAATTGATGCTGATTAATACTTAATAAAGCTCTAATTCAACAAGACAAAGACCGACCACTACCCTGGTAAGTTCTCACCATCCTTGTGCGACGCTAGTTGCCTCCCAGAGTAGACTAAAAATCTTCCACTTCTCCAAAATTCAAGATTTTCGCCATGAACCAAAGATTTAACATGCAAAACCAAATTTTCTTCAAGCTGGCAAAGAACGAGTGAAATTAGTTAGAGCTCATAAAACTTTATTGGTACAATTTCAGTCCTGGATAACAGCTCTTCACTCACCTGTTCCCATGCAATGGATGACATAGACATATAAATCGATAGAACCACACAACCAGGCCGTATGTAGCTTTCCATTTCAGATGGACAATTAGACAGCCAATTGTATATCTAGAACATTAGAAAAGAAACTTCATGAATTTTTTCCAGACATATGCAATTGCAGCATTTTATATAAAAGAAAATTGGAAGCAATAAGATCCTAGAATCTTACTTGTGTCCGCAATGTCCCTGGAAACTGACTGGGATCCTTGTCGAAGAGTTTAAAACTTATCCTTCCAGTGCAATCCTGAATAATGTTGTTTCAAACCACAAGAATAATGATATCAAACACAAACACACACACACACACACAAAGCACGTCCACAAATACAAGGAAGAATGTACTCAGCAAGATACCTGAGCATCGGAATTTAAATTAGAAGGTGAATGATCAGACCCCGAAGAAGTATATCCAGCCTGATAAGGAACAGTATGAAGCAAATTTGGGCCGCCTCCTCTATCTGACTCTCTAAAGAGTTCAAAGGGCATGGCGCTACTAGGAGGCTTTGGGACCTCAACAATTCCACTAACTTCTTTTCTGATTGGTATTTTCCTATTACTGGTAGTTTCTTCTGATCTTTGCACGGGAAACAACTTCTGCAGGAGAGGAGGTGAGGATGATGGAGACCTCTCTTCAATAGGATTACTGCTATCAGAAGAAAAGTACTTTCTAGAAGCCGTCAAGTTCAGTGGGGTACCATGTTCAGGCAAAGAGCTAAACAGCTGAAGTGGCAAACCAACTCGAGATCCTTGAACTTGTCCATCCGATTCTTCCACGGGAGACTGGTAACTGGTACTGCTTCTTTCTCCTCCAACTGAAGGAAATTCCAGAGGCCTATTCTGGAGATCAGAACCAGAGGGGCACGATGACCTTGTTTTTTCGCTAGCACTACTCGGACTGCTCTTCTGCGACAGCATTGCCAGAGCATCTGGAGCTGATGCCACTAAAGTTGCTGAAAGTACAGTGAGCAAGTCCATGGTCGAAGAAGAAGATGGATTTCTATTTAATTTGTTTTGGTGCTGCAAAGAACTTCCTGGAGAAGCCTTCCCCATAAAATTCTCCAAATTGGGCACCTTTGCTGCAAACTCTGCTGGTAAAGGAAGTGAATTGACCTTAGTGAGGGTCTGAATGAGTTGGTCACTATTAGCTGACAGCAAGCTTTCTACACTCTGGCCTTCGTTTTCTCCTGATGTTTCAAATCAATGTGTTAAGACAAAAGTCAGAAACAAATAGGTATCAGAAACTTGATCAGGCAATTGCTTGACCTTGAGCCCGAGCTAGAACAGCCAATAGACTGAAGATGTCCAAATTCCCACCGCTTGGGGGTCCTCTACTTCCTGGCGGGGTCAGCCTTGAGGTTACATCCTCGGGCTGCGTCTTCCTTCTACGCCAGTTGTGCCCCGCAAGTCTCCTTCTACAGCTTCTTTTCCCATTATCAAATTCCGAAAGTGGATGAAATCTGAGGAGAGGTTAATAGCAATAAGAGTTAAAATATATACACACACATTTGGAGAGGGAGGCAGATTGGTAATGAATTTCTGGCGCATCAACACAAGATGGAAAACAAAAAGGCATAGAGAAGCGGGGAGAGATGGTAGGAATGAAAAAAAAACCTGCTGCACTGCTGGCAGAACCTCTGCATCAGATTAGCAACTAGGGCTTTGGTGGATTTGCTATGGAGCTGGCAAACTTTATGTCTGCGGTGATAGTCTTTGGCATTAGAGAGATCTTCCTTACAATTATCGACCTGACACATAGGGAAGGTGGCAGTGGCGGGAGATCCAGGGTCAGGGCGGAGCTTTTTGGGGGGTTTGGAGAGCGGCTGCTCAACGCAATTGAAATTGGGAGCAGGACCAAGATTAAGGCGAAGAGTCTGATCATCCTGGAGGTGGAGAGTGTTGTTGTTTGAGGTGGAAGGAAGAGGAGTAGCAGGAAGGAAGTGGGGTTTGGATGAGAGAGCATCGGAGTGGAGTAGCGCAGGGTCGGAGGGTTTGATGATAACGTATCGGTATCCCAATCCCAAGTCTTAGGGTTCCAAGTATGGGAGTGGTGGTGGAGGTGATTGTGATAAGATAAAGGGCGCTTGTTGGAGGTGGAAGGCAAACCAGTGTAGTGAGTGGGGAAGGTTTGGTGGATGAAAACAGGAGGAACAACTTGGGCGCCGAGGTCGTCCATGGAGAGGGAGGGGAAGGGAACCAAGGGGAAGGAGAAGAAGGGAAGAAATGGAAGAGATCCAGCTGAAAGAAATGAGATCTGGAATATGTACAAAGCAATCTACTGCCTGTTGTTGCTGCTGTACGAAACCCAAGAAGAAAGCGAGAGAGAGTCGTCTGGAGCTGGAGCTGGAGCTGGAGCTGGGCTGTACCTGAACCTGAACTACCTGAACTACCTAACCAGAACCAGAAGCTGGAGCAGGAAGAATCACTTTTTCCTTTTCTCTTATTGCCCAATATTGTTTTTATCCATCCGTTCGTGCAAGTCTGACACGAAGACAGGAAACATCAACTCAACTCAAAGTCTGTCATATGAGTTAATAACAACGGAATATTACATACATGAGTAATGCCTTCTTGTCCTGCGATTGCTACTCTCACCCACCCGTGATCTACCTTCTGTTCGCACCTCATTTTGAAGCGTGCACCAAACACTCACGCACAGCCCATCAAATCTCACACCTCCGTTCCCCGTCTCCCTCGCCCTCATCGCCTATATTTTCCACACATCACCTTTATTGTATTATTATTATTTTCAATTATGAAACTAAAGCATACAAAATAGCTCCTCAAAGTAACAGTTCAAGAAATTTTAATTAGTTTGTTTGTATAGTCAAACATGATGTCCGGATATGTGCAAAGAGTCAATTTCGGCTTTATAAATTGGGTTTAGCTGTTCTAAAATGAGCACCTAAAATCGGGAGCGTTGCTCATGGTTGTGGCGATAGTCACGTCCCATAATAGCACTACGCATTAAGGATTGGAAGAGGCACCCATCAACACCATTGTACAGGATACAGAAGCAGTGGGGACACAAGATTCCGGTTCCGGATAGCTACATTGTCAGTGCGGGCCCCTTCCCCCCTGTACGGACGCCGATACATCCACTTCTGGCTTCCACTCTCCTATGGAACATCCTCTCCATATTTACTCATTCGAAGCACTTTTATTGCCGCTGCTTTTCCGGAAAACAAAATAAAATAAAATAGAAAAGAGTCATTTGAGGCGCCTTAATAATGGGAAAACTTTCATTTTGTTAATTTAAAAGAGACCAGTCCTGAGAATAGAGCCAAAGAATTAGCCTACCATATCTATATATTCTATGGGAATGTCCCAAACCAAAACTCTATCCCTCTGCCCTTACAAGCTGTAATTGTGTGTCGCTCTCTAAACCAAAACTCTATCCCTCTGCCCTTACAAGCTGTAATTGTGTGTCGCTCTCTATATGAAACTGAATTGCATTCTAAATTTAGAAACCAAGACCTAGTATAGAAGCCGTTGTTGCCCCCACGAAGAACACCACGAAAACAATCAGGGTGGCCAAAAGAACCCACATCCATGGCTGCATCCCCCTCTTACTCCGATTTCGAAGATGTGGAGGAATTGTTGACTTTGTCTTGCTGTGCTTGGTGTACTGCGACTGCGACGCTTTTTGTGGCCTCTTCGCAGCCGTCCCCTGTTTACCTGTGTTTTCAGACACCTCCTTCGGGGTGCTCTCCGTGATTATACCAGATTCCCTTTCTTCCAAACCATTTCCAGCTTCCGTCTCAGCTGCTGCCATCTTCCTTGCCTTCTTTTTTGCTCTCTTCTCCCTTAGCTGTGCACAAATATGTTAGCTGTCAAAATTGCAATTCAAGCAAAGAAATAAAAGCAATTTGAATATGCCCAATACCTTCTCTCTCTCTTCCGCCTCTTTTCTTGCTTTAGTTGCCGCCCTAGCGTGGGCTTTCTCAGCATTTCTACTTTTCCTCTCCAATGCCTCTTTGGCTTTGGTCTTCTCTTCCAACTTATGTTGCTCCTTCAACTTGATTGCTTCCTCTTTCTTTCTCAACTCTTCTGCTTTCGCCGCCAACTCCTCTTCCTCTCTTGTTCGCTTAATCTCCACGGGTCGTGGTGGCTCTTCTACGTCATTCTCGCAAGAAATATTCCCAAGGCCATTCACTAAAGCCACAACTGTCGTGGGCTTCTTGTTTTTTGTCGGTTGATTCTTTGTTTTGACTACTTCGATCACTGGCTTATCATTATCTCTCATATTCTCAGCGGGTATCAGTTTTTCTGGTTCCAGCGTTTTTGAAACTGTTGAAAGAGAATTGTCCCTCGCTGGTCTCTCCTTTACAATATGGTTTAGTGCATGTGGCTCTTCATTGGGGCCAAGGGAGCGGCCATCCAACGTTTTTAGTCGCCTCAGGGTACTTCTCATGTTGGTCTTAATATATTCTTCCCTGAACTCAGCATTTGTGTTCCACAGTTCCATCATGCACTCCACCTAAAATATTGATCAATCAGAGTATGGAAACAACTCGACGCCCAAAATCAAAGCAAACCAGCAATTGCAACACGGACTCAATACCAAAGAGTAACTTGATTATGTCAACAAAAAGAAGGGGAAGAATAAATTAACCTGATTAACAGAAAAACGTTGCAGTCTCTCTACATCTCCACTCGATGCGATTTCATTGGCTTCTTTCACGTCATCCCGATACTTCCAGTAGTATTTGTTCTGCAAGTCAAGGGTCAAACTTCAACGGTTACACTTTCGCTGGGTGGCAATCGTTAGAGGATCTCTACCGATGAACATATGCCAACGGAAAACATAAAATGACACATGTCCAATTCCAACATCATTTACCGCCAATTTTCGATTCATAAAAAAAAAAAAAAAAAAAAAAAAAAAAAAAAAAAATTGTATGTTCTATCTGAGATCAAATAGTCCCCCAGATCAGGCTCCAGCTTGCAAATTTTCAACCTATACAGAACAGAACTCAAAACAAAAATGGAAAACCCCTTTTGATAAATTCTCCTCACAAACATGTTATACCAGCTAAAATAGGTCGTTGGAAACCATCTTCCTTAAAGATGTCGATCTTGTTCCATTCAAAAGTCATGAGGGAAATAGACCCTGGCCCTCATAACTTCGACACTTGTTGTACACAGCGTCTTCTAAAGTGCTTATTACCACAAGTAGATCGCATTATGAGAAAAAATTACGAGTACAAACCTTATCGTATAATTGCTTCCTCAAACTCTGTAAATTGGCATATGCTTCTTGGCGAATCTTATCTGCTGCTTTAAACTTGGATTGCAATTCATCCAGCTTTAAGCTTTCATCATTACATATCTTCTTGGCAGCCTTTATAACTGATTCAGCTTTCAGAACATTGCCTCTCAGTAAATCCATCTCCTTTCTTAATAGCTGTGTGGTACAATTAATAAATATCATGAGAATACGCATCTTAAAACAAAAGTGAAGACGAATTATCTAAATCTTATGCTGCATTGCAAGTACTTTTAGCTGTAAACACATTTTAGATGAGGGGTACCAAGTAACAAATACCATGTGAATATGCATCTTGAATCTCATGCTGCATTGCAAGTGTTAGAAACCATATTTAGAGAAGCAGAGGTACAAAAGTATCAAACCCTATATCATACCCTTAGGCGCTCTTCAAACTGGTCTTTCTGGTCCAATGCCTGTTGAAGCTCATTCTGCTTACCCGTAGTAGATGAAAGCTGTTCCCGTAGCTGCTTCAATTGCTTGATTTCACGAATCAATTGTTTTTCCTCTTTCAGTGGCAGTGTTTCATGCTCTATACTGTGTTCAATGCTGCGTACCTGCATACATTGAAGCACAATTTCACAAAACGTTGAAATAAAAAATAAATTCAGGGGCATGAGCATGCACACAAGTGGCAGGGGGGAGGAGAATCGCTACAAACATATTTAACTAGAAGATCAACACGTACTTACCCTGCCATCAATGTCCCCAATGGACATTGCATTCTTTACTTTTGTTATGACTGATTGAACAGAGTCAATCTCCTGTCGTTTTGACTTCAGCAAGTCTCTTGCAGCTCTTCCTTCTGACACTGCAGCTTCAAGATTATCACTTAACACTTTCCATGCAGCCTGAACAGATAACCATTTGAACCATAAAATGATGTTTACATATACATAAATATATTAAACTTTGAAAAAGTATAACAATGTCATTATTACCCTCACTATCTGTATTTGAACTCGAATAGCATCTCTATCCTTGGTCGTCTGATCAACTTCCATTTGAGCACTCTTAATCTGCTCTCTTATATTTACATCACCAAATTTAGGTACCCTAACCAAAAAGTTAAGTGGCTTTGTTCCTGCTTCAGTACCTACATTCTTCCCTGCCAAAGCTTCAATAGAACCTTCTGGGGAAATAGGGGAAGGTTCATTCTGGCAACTATGAACGACCTCAGTTTCTTCTTTTGTCGGTTTACTGTCAGTTTGAGAGGCAATATCAGACATTGGGTTCAGATCCACTTCATCGTTTACTGCAGAACCCTTGACTTCAGTTTCTGATGTGCAATCATCGCTAGTTATATCTCTGCCACCACCTACTACGGAAGATGCAATCTCGATATTCTCTCCTGATTTCTCATTAGCAGTTGGACTTAAGCTACGTTCATTATCACGGAATTCTGAATCTGTTTCAACAGCAGAACTTTGTTGGATCGCAGTAGATTTATTGCCACCATTAGGAACTTCAGGAACAGTAGAACCTCTCTCTTCACATTCAATTGAAATAAAATCGTTAGATTCTGATCTCATATCATTACAAGGGAAAGTTGATTGGTTTTCTTCTTCGATGTCACCACTCTCGGACTTGGTTTCAAAATTATTGTCACCAAGAAGAAGACTAATCTCATGATTTTCACGGACTTCATTATCCAGTTGGACATAATCATCAGCAGAAGCCACATTTTCAGACATAGTACAATCCTCGGCTTCAAGATCAGGTCTCAGTACTGGATCATCAAGACTGTGTGTACAGGACATTTTCCTTATTTCAACTGAAGTATTTCCTATCACAACAGAAGAGACTGCTGTTTCAACGCTTTGTGCAGGTTCAACTTCCACAGGGATTAATTGACTTCCCGCAACAGAATCATCACCATAAGAAGTTCTAGATTCATCAAGCGCAATGGACATCTCATCTCCAGAGACTGTACCTTCCAAAACTTCAACCCTGTCACATTCGTCCACTTTAGGATGGGAGGCCGTTTCTGAAGTTTCTTCTAGTTCTAACACATGATTCACCTCTTGTTCATTCACGGTAATCTCATTTAACTCTACTTTTGGATCATTAATAAGCATTGTATGAGTTAATTTATGAGTTTCAACAGAATCAATATCAGGATCTACAGAGCTAGATAAAGTTTCAGTATGGTCATGGAAGCTGCTCGTGTTAGCTCCAGTGTCTTTGTCATCAATAGTCTTAGAAGGGTCATCTTGATCCATACTCGTTGCAGTGCTAGTGGAGATAGAACCATTTAGATCTTCTGAATTGACCAATGGACTAGGAGCTGCTGCCAAATGCTGCTCCATGTCCACTTTGTTTTCTTCAGATGGCTCTAAAAGAGAATCCTCACCGTTTATAATTTGAGATTCTCCTAATCCTCCTACTGGGTCGCTTATCGCAGCTTTATTTACCATCTCATCAACCTTCTCTTTGCCAGAATGGCAGTCGGCAGCCTCCACATTTGCATCTTGTGATTCTCGAATGCCTTCTTCTCTCTCGAAAGAGTCCAACTCAGTTTCTTCACTGCGGTTTTCAATGGTATCAGACAATTCATTAATAGCCACTGTTTCATTATCCTCGGGAACTACTTCACCTTGCCCACGCTTATCCACGGTAGCAGAAGATTTGACGGCGTCCACTATTTCATTTTGCCCGTTAAGCTTAATATCTTCCCCCTCCCCAGGAGACTCCACTTCAATTTCTGACCTAGGATTTGCCTCGGTATTAGACAGCTTGGGGGCTTTCATTATGCCATTTTCCTTATGATTCTGAATGTCCACCTCAGTATCAGACAAATTGAAGGCTTTCACTCTGCCATTTTCCTCATCATTCAGAATGTCGTCTCCCTTTTGAGAAGACTCCACCTCAATTTTCCCCCTAGGATTAGCCACGGTACAAGACAAATCGAAGGCTTTCATTCTGACATTTTCCTCACCATTCTGAATATCGTCTGCCTTCTTAGAAGACTCCAACTTAATTTTTCCCCTAAGAGTTGCCGCAGTATCAGTCAAATTAAAGGCTTTCACTCTGCCATTTTCCTCATGATTCTGGACCTCGTCTGCCTTTCGAGAAGACTCCACCTCAATTTCTTCCCCAGTGTTTGACTCAGGATCAGAAAACTTGATTGCAACAATTCCATATTCCTTGCGAAATTGGATGCCCTCTGCGTTTTGCGAAGACTCCGCCTCAATGTCTATCCCATGATTTGCCTTGGTATTAGAAGACTTCATGATTCCCATTACTCCATTATCCTCGTGAATTTGAATATCTTCCACCATTTGAGAAGACACCACCAAGATTTGTCCACCAAGATTTGCATCCGTGTTTGAAGACTCAGTGGTAGAAATTATTTGATTTTCCTCCTGAATCTGAACGTTTTCATCTTCTTGAGGAGCATCTACCCCATAGATTTCACCCGAATTCTTTTCTGCATCAAACAATTCGTTCACAGCCTGGTTCTCCAGGATTCGAGTTTCTTCCACTTTTTGGGAGGAATCCAGTCCAGGTTCCGCCTCATCCACCTTGGCGTCAGAAGATTGAAGAACATCTACCACTCTAGTCTCATCCTGAATTGCGTCACTCACTTTCAAATGCTCAGAAAATTTAAACGGTGAATCCTCAGATGCATTGGAAACGAAAAATGAATCGGGTTTCCTACCATCGTCCGTACAGAATTCCCCATTATGAACCTTAATTTCCGTATCGACATTGTGAGAACACTCTGGTTGCCCATTGAGATCCGACACAACATGATCATCGGAAGTAGCAGCATCGGTGGAGTTGACGAAAACGTAAGAAGCATCAGTATTATCCTTAGGAATGGAAGCAGCAGAGTCAAGGGGTGATGCATTGCAAGCGTTAGGCAAATTCTCATAGGTACTCATATCCAAGGCACACTTCTCGTTAACCTCAGAGACGTCGGCGTGCACATCCATGTCAGCCATCATTGTGCATCAAAAACACAAAACCCGCAACCGCAATTAAAGAGGAAGACTGGTAATTAAATAAAATTCAGAAACAAGAACATAAAAGGAGAAAGAAAAGAAGGGATTAGAAAGTGCGAAAGCGAGTAGAAGTGGGAAAAGGTATGATGAGCAAGTGAAAGTTGAAATGGGCAAGATCTCAAAAGACGAAGAGGAAAGAGAGAGTTACCGGAAGCGGAAGCGGAGGAGTGAGTGGAATTTGGCAGATCAAGTAGAGAAGATCATCGAGAATTGCGGATGCAGATCTTGAGAACTGATTCTGAGAATGGGGAGAGAGAAAATAAAAAAAATAAAAAAAGAAGAAAAAGAAAGGAAAAGCGGAAGAAATAAGGTCTGAGAACGAGGCAGAATCGAAGATGAAAGTGAAACGAACAGCTGGGCGGGGGAGGAAGAAGAAGAAAGAGGAAGAAGAAGAAGAGAGAAACACTGGTCTCCTCTTTCTCTGCTTCCTAATCCTAATCTTAATAGTATTTCAAATCAAACTACCAAATCTTCCCTTCAAAACCAAATCAAAATTACCATTTACGTCGGAAAAAAAAAAAAAGAAAAGAAAAGAAAACAACATGGGCCGTGCCGGTGTCGGTTATTCCCCAGTCCTTTGGTTATTATAGCATTCATGGAACTCAAAAATAAAAATAAGAGACTCTCATAGTTCCTTAGTTATGTTGAATTAAATATTTTATTTATCAAAACTAAACTTTTTATTTTTAAACTTTCCTAATATTTACTTTTCCTCCATGGATGATTTAACTCACAACGTAAGTTTTTTTTTATATAAAAAAATAGCTAAATTAAATAGGTGGAATTGAATAAAGTTGTTTACCCTCCTTGAACATAATTTATGCAAATCTACCTTTTGATATAAAATAGTCTCCCAGCTTTGAGTATAGTTTTCATTTAATATTTTTATTCCAAACTTTCAAGTTAAAGTTAGATTTCAAAAGGTTAAGTTTTATGGTTTATATTCCTTTAGTCTCAAGTTTTAGGATTTCATACTTTTATCATTGGCTTTTCACCGTAAAGGCTTACTTTACCTTTATATTAATTGATTTAAATATTATGATGCAGTAGACTAATTTTAATAGTGATGATAACCAACTGTTAATATATAAAAGAACTAACAACCAAAAGTGTAAAATTAGAGACTAAACCAAATAGAAATACCCATCTCAACAAAAACTAAGTTTTCCTCTCCCTCACTCCCATCAAAACATTATCTTTTTTTAACCTTGAATTGAAAAATCTAAAAGTAGTAAGGACAGCATATCTAGAATTATAGCAAAAACTAAGAATTTAAGATCATCCAAGAACATTTGAAGAACATCCAAGAACATTTGAAGATCTAAGGAAACAATGTTGATGGGAGGAATATGGTTTTGTGGAATAGAAGCGAGATTTGGAAAGAGGTTATGCGTTCCAAGGAAGGAGGGGTGTATCTTTATGGCGCAAATTTTGGCGCAAATTTTGTGGAATAAAGATTAGGAACAAAACGGCAACACAAGTTGGTTTTGACAATATCTTTGGACTTACTCAAATTATGTGATGGGGACGTGGGTTGAAAAAACAAAGGGGGGAATATGGTGGAGGGAGTGTCGGTGGAATTATTCAAACTCCGAGATCTGAACACCCAATACAAAGGGCCCTCTACAGCCTCCAACATATGAATAAAGGGTGTGGCGCAACGTGGGGTGGACTTTTGTACATCTAATCTACCTTCCCTCTAACTAACCCACAACTCAGCAGCTTCGTATTGTCAAAATAACACACCCCAACCCAGTCCATCGTGGAATAGAAAAAAGAGCCTGGATCCAATCCACATCTACAAGTTGACTTAGATGCTTCTTAAATCACCATGGACCTCAAGCAATACAAACACAAAAAAAGGATAGCCCTCACGTACACATACGATTAGATGGATGATAGAATTGGAGGGCATGTGGCCCAATTAGTCAACTAAACCCCGCGAAAACTCTGATCGACACATTCAGTGCTAAGATAGGAACACAAGTATTCTTTACCTTTAGGTTGAGTGCTATTTCAGGTCACAGAGTGTCACGATCAGGTTTGTCCAACGTATGTTGCCTGTGGCCACATGTTGGATGTCTCGATCATGCTCGTCCAGAATATGTTGTTCATGGGGTATATGCCCATTCCAAACTCCTTTTACTTGCTTTCATATATATGTTGTTCATGGGGTATATGCCCATTCCAAACTCCTTATACTTGCTTTCATATATAGTTAGATCTGTATTATTCTTGTTGTGTCAATAAGCAATGTCTAGTCGTGTCATTGTCAGACAATTCAACCTCCCAATCAATCTTTAAATGATTCTCCTTTGTGAGTTGAAAATTAGGTATGATTGGAGTACTATATACTTTTAACTCCCAGTTTTCCTATCTCATATAAAAAAGTTTACATATTTTTGTCGTAACAAAATGATATCTTTCTGGCTTCCCTATCACCTCAGTGTTTCCAGATCCTTGGTATGAAAATGATACTCAAGGAGTCTTTTTGATGTATCAATTCCAATTATATATCATTGACATACACAACAAGCAAGGTAATACCATTCTCACAACATTGATAGAAGATAGAATGACCCGATGTACTTTTTTGAAAACCCTAATTGTTTACAAAAACATCCTTGTATTTTAGATTATAAACATAATATAGGTGCAAAACCCCAAACTCAAAGACTTCAAACTTATTCTCAAACTAAAAGAACGTACAATTAAACTAGGCTTCAAAATAAAACAAGATGGAACATAAGCAGTAAGATAAACAACAAAAAATATAACCAAACAGATGGGGAAAAAATATAGGAATAAAACATACAGACAGACACAGGAGAAAGATCCATGTAATAAATACCCAGAAAGATCCTTGACCAAGACATGGAAAACAAACCTTGCCCTCTCACCGCCATATGGGTTGAGTGAAGTGAAAAGCTCCAAAAATATCTTACATCTCTTGAATTAAAGCAGCAACGGATGCTATCATAAAGATTGAATATTCCCAAAATCCTTTTTTGGCATGAAAAATTGAAACCATTTGAAGAAATGTCCATGCCATCAATTTAAAATTATTAGGTGGACACCATTTCTTGATTGTCTAATGAACGTAATTCAAGAGGAACAAGGAAATCAAAATTCAAATGAAGTAAATATTTAAGAAATAGCAATTCTACAACAGAACTTCGAACATGAAACAAATATCCAAATTTTGTATTGGAATATTCAGCTAATTCTAGTTAGAACAATAACGTGACTAGAAGAAGCATTATAGTAGCAAAGACTTCTAATCACCATTGGTTAGCCTAGTGGTCAACAAGGGGCAAGTAGATAACAAAGAGTGAATGAGCTCAAGTCATGTTGTGGCGGCCACCTACTTCAGATATTAAATCTACAAGTGTCATTGGCAATCAAATATAGCAAGGTCAGATAATCATTTCTACTTTTATTTTCTACTTTTATTAATTTAATGTTGTTGTTTGTTTCACTTAGTCTAAATCAGGTACTTCTCCTGTTGAAGAGAGATAATTCTCCAGGAATTTAGTCCTGGAGTTCTAAGGGAATTAAAAAATATTGGCCAATTACAATTGAAATCTACTCAATTGCAAATAACTTTCGGGTGGATGACGCATCTAACAATCCCCTTTACATCCACCATTTTGATAATCTATTATTGATGCTTGTATCCCAGCCAACAACTGGAGAAACTTCACTTTCTGTAGTCGAGCCACAAAGAGAGCACTTCCCAAATGTCCATGAAGAACTCGGGTTGGTTTTATTGATCGCATCTTGGCATGTTCATCAAGAAATGATCCTTTAGTAAATGTGTGGATCCACAGCAATATCATTGTCCTCCTGGATTCTCATTATCCAATGAGACAGCAACCAGTGTTATCCACTTACATTAAGCTCAAGATATATTATGAGAGATTCTCAAAAAATAATGTCCTTCAAAGTTTTCAGTTATGATGGGACTTGGTGACTCTTACATAATGTTAAAAAAGAAACCAAGCTTTTCTTGAGGAAAAAGAATGTACAAGGCATACAAAAAACAATAGACCTCCGGATTGAAAATAATAGAATGAAGGCACACCACCTCTAGAAATTGACGATCAGTGAGAGAACGAAGAGAACCCAAAGAGAGCAAGGGTCAGGAGAAGACAAAAAAAAAAAAAAACAAAAGGCCACTTTCTCCCGATTATTGATGAGGACATAAATTGAAAATTTGAAATTATGTGAGAGGAGAACATCAATTATAGACCTAGCAACCCTTATTGTGAGGTGTGTAAGTGGAGGCACAAAGGCATTAATTGATATCTTCGAAATGGAGTATTATATGGACTTTTGGGTCTAAACAACTTCTTAACTGATATCTCGCCACAAGATCTCTCAAGCTCTCAAAAATTCTATTATTCCTCTCAAGCCAGAATCTCCCACAAAAATGAAAAGAAATAACATGCCACACAACTTGGCCTTTACCACGAAAAAGAACCCACGAGAACCTCCTCAACCATAGCATAACAGTCCCCATTCCAAACCAGACATAAATTATAAGAATCCAGCCAACGAGTCCAAAGGGACTAAATAAATGGGCAATCCAACAAAAGGTGATGCAAATCCTAAAACGGGCAACACACACAAGATGCACCAATAATAGAAGAGTGTCTATGGACACAATTCTTAGTGTCAACTCTCCCTTGTAAAACCTGCCACAAAAAAGTTACTTTCTTAGAAAGTTTAATCTTCTAGAGAGAGGAGAAAGGAGAGGCGGAACGGGGGCGAGGAAGACCAACAACAACTAGGAGAATGAGCAGCAAGAGAATCCCCAAGATGGCTCCAGGTTCCAGAACCTAGAGTCCCTACCCCTTCGAAGTATACAAAGACCATGGAGGATAGAAATATTATTGAAGCATAGAAGGCCTCTTTATCAGAAAAAAAAAAAGAAAAAAAATGACATACAACCCAAAAATAGCAAGAGAGATCAAAGAACGAAAGATCATAAGCCACAAGATGTAACTTTTTGCATGAGATATGGCATAAACATGGAAACACCTCACGAAGGCGCTTCTCACCCAACCACCAATCTTTTCAAAAATAAACACTCGAACCATTCCCAATATTGCACTTAACAAACAAAGAAATAGAATGTAAGATGGAAGCAATCAAATTCTAGAGGATTTTAAGATAACCTTTAGTACTACCACTGATAACCCACTCACGGATGTGGGCCAACTACTTCTAAGGAATGGTGCAGAAATCAAGAGTTCAAGTGCCCAAGTTCGTGTTTTAGGTACTTGTTATTCTGTGCTACAAACTCATTGTCTCAAACAAGTATTGGATAATTGCATCTCGGGTGACTTGTGAGATCCCACATCGGTTGGAGAGGGGAACGAAGCATTCGATATGAGGGTGTGAAAACCTCTTCCTAGCAGACACGTTTTAAAAATCTTGAGGGGAACTTCGATAGAGAAAGCCCAAAGA